GGTGACACCTCAATCAATCCATAGGTAATAAAAAACTAACACTGTCTAATATGAAATAGTATAATCTCTACATCTAAGAATTAATACAATAGTTTTTATCAATTATCAATTTTTTTTGAAGCGATCCCGAGGTCTTGAATAGAATCAAGGGTATTGTTAGTGGTCATTTCACGGGGCCTTGGTCGACTTATGGTGAGGTTCCGGCGGCCACTCGTGAACTATGGTGGCGGTTGTTCAAGGTAGAAATAATTTTTTTTGTTACATTTTAATAACTTAAATTTAACAAATGATATATCAATGTTTTTAATGAAGGCTTCCCATCGGTGGCATTTTGCCCTAGACCAAGCTATTCTCAAAGAATACAATTCTAGGATTTCTGGGTGGTTGAGACCCACTTTTAGGACCGCCCGGTCTACCGGTCGAAAGCCAAGATTCCTTGGCGATGATGTGTGGGAGATGCTTTGCCGCCATTGGGCTACGGATCCCGCATTTTTGCTGAGAAGCGAAACAGCCAAGGCAAACCGGAACTCGGAAAAAGCCAAGGAAGTTCAATGGCACGGGGGCCGCAAACCCCAAATTCAACATAAAAAGATCTGGTAAACTCTAATTAGTTAAAATTATTTCCATTCCATTCCCTTATGTATATATATTTTTATTAACTTTGAAATTTGTGTAGGAAGGATCTGGACCCGTGAAAAAACGGGTCACGCCATTGAAACTCATGGCACATTGTTGGACGAAGAAGGGTGTCATGCCGCCTCCCCGCCTTTCTGAAATTGAAGTAAATAATGAAACTTCAATAATTCAATAAATTTTGAATTTTTTTGATCTCTTATATAATAAACTTTTTAACTTGTAGAAAAAATATGAGGAAGAGCGGGGGAAGAGAGTTGATGAGCTAGGTGATTCTGATGCCGAACTTGATGAAAATCAAGAATATGACGCCATCTTGGCGGCGACCGGAGTTTACAAGGGCCGGGTGTCGCTTATGGGTTCTGAAGGCTTACGGATCCTGGAGAAGTCCAAAGGAGCTAGCTCATCTTCTCATTCGGCGTATGATGATCGGGTTACCCGCCTCGAGAAAGTAGAAACTATTGGAGGAATGTGAAGCAGAGGCTCGAAGGCGGGATGAAGAAGCTCGGATACGGGATGAAGAGGCAAGAAGAACGAGAGAAAGGTTGGAAGAGATGGAACGACAAATGCATATGTATAACGCCACCTACCGCCCATCCATGCACATACAGCACCCCGAGATGACTCCACAAATTCCCTTCGCGGGCAATATGGGCAATATGGACAGTAGGGGTTTTGCTAATTATAGCCATATCTCCAACAATTTTCCATATGGATATTATGATGATACCCCTTTAGCGACTCCCGGAGCTAAAGCATACCGTGGCAGCAGCCGTGGTGGCAGTCGAGGCAGCCATCGTGGCGGCAGCCGTAACCACGAAAGGCAACCCGATCATCGTGAGGAACTTAATGATGATGATGATGATGATTATGATGACCATTGATAGTTAATTTGTAATAACTAGTTTATTGACATTTTAAGGATTTTTAAATTTTGATGGTTACTGTATGAATATTAATTATTTTTGTTATATAATGATGGTTTGATTGGTTTATTATTTATTATGATAAATAATGTTTAATGGTGATTAATGATGATTAATGATGATTGTTTAATTATTTATTACAAACAATTATTTATTAAGATTAATGATGATTGTTTAACTATTTATTAAAAACAATGTTTATTAAGTTTAAATTTTTTAAAAAGCGCCTAAATTTTAATGGTTATTATTTATGAAATAAACTTTTGAAATAAACATTCAAAAAACAAATGCGCTGAATTTTTAATTTTTTTTAAAAAATTAAAACTTTTGTCACAGACTGTTCCGTGACAAAATATAAATTCAGTTTATTTTTTATACCCAAAACGCTGAAAATAACGTATTTTAAAAAAAATGTTTTGTCACGGATGAGATCCGTGACAAGTTCAAAATTTTGAATATTTTTTTGAAATTTTTAAAGTACCCGCCCACCTGTTTCGAAATTTTTCAAAATTTTTTCAAAATCTTTTGTCACGGATATGTCCGTGACAAAATTAAAAATTTGAATTTTTCAGATCGTTTCAAATACCCGCCCACTCTATTTCGAAAACCTTTTTTTAAATTTGTCACGGATATTTCCGTGACAAATAATTATTATTTTTTTGAAAAATAAAAAAATTTATTCACGGATGTGGCCGTGATAAATAAAAGGCGATGGAGTTCCGGTGAAGTGTTTTGTCACTGACGGTGGCCGTGATAAATCCGTGACAAACGGTGTTACAGATTAATTTCCGTGACAAAAACGTTATCACGCCCCTGGTGTCACGGATTTTTTCCGTGATAAATCCGTGACAAAAAATCATTTGTCACGGATTTTTTGAACTACCGTCCGTGACAAAATCCGTGACAAAGAGCGAGTTTTTTTGTAGTGAAAAGTCATGTACACTACATTACTAGAAATGGATAATCCTCAATGATTTCTAAAATTTTAATATTCTTTCAATACATATCAAAATATAACATAAATTATCTAAAAATGAAAAATAACAATATATATAATATAAACACACACATTTAGCTAGTTTAGGATAATACATATGTGGGCTATAAAATTGTTTTTCTATAAAAGAGATCTATTGGTATAGATAAATTATAAAAAATTCAAATGCATTGTTTTCGAACGGTTCGGTCCGGTATTTTTCGGTTCTCAAAATCTAGGACCGGTCCCGTACCCGTTTCAAACGGTTCGATTTCGGTACGGGACAAAAATCTATAGAACCATTTAAATACCCAGTATTCGGTTCGGTACCATTATGGGACGGTTCGGTACCGGTTCAGATCGGGTTTTATGCCCACCCCTAGAATAAATCACTCTACAAAAAAGGAGCATGAAAGATATCTTACAAAATCAAAGGAAGGTGCAGGGAGCAAGAAATCATGGAAGAAAGGTGATTTGGTGTCAATCACAATGTACACATCCAAACATTGTACTTCGTATTATGAAGAAAAACTTTTAAAACACAAATACAATCATTCAAATTTGGAGATATAGATTCTACAGATTAGTTATTATGAATGTTTTTACTTGGACTTATTTCAGTCTCAAATCGGACCAGATCAAACCACACTAGAGTTCAACACTTGTAAAATACAGAGACCAGACATCTGCGATGTCAGATCAGACCATATCACACTATACTAGATCAGACCACAAAATTTGAGTCCATGTAAATACATCCTAAAATTTAAGTCCATGTAAAATTTCCTCTTTGATTATGTCTTGAATGAAATTCCTATTTATGGGAGATCAAATTTCGTGTTATGGACCAATAGTTTCGGCTGTCACCAAGAGTTATAAAAGGAGTAAAGGACTCAAACTTCTCTTCTTCAAACTCTATATATTTAGAATAATGTATCTAGCCAATTTTAGGATGTAAGTTCATTCTTTTGCACAGGTATCCCAAGTCTCCTGCATTCTCAACGTGTGTCTTAGCGTACTTAAGTGGGCACGAATTGTTTACTTTCAATTGTTAAGTTTATTTTCGATTAATAACCTTGAAATATATTTTTCGGTACAAATATCATCATTGATAATTTGCAAAATCTTATATAAATCGTTGAGTTGTACAAGTTAACCATTTATGTAGACTTGAAAGCCTTTTATTCAAAAGAAGCTAAGCAATACCGTACCATTTTTAAAAATTGGATTACTTATGTATACAGAGAGAAATATTCCTGTCAGGAATTCCAGTCGACTTTTTTGATGAAATTTTTATGGCATGTTCTTCGTCAAGTCTAGTTTATTCACAAAACAGTTTAGCTAAAAATTCAATGAGGAAGGTTGTCAAATAAATTTTTGAACGTTAACTGTGTTTTATATAAATATTTTGTACGCAGTTATCATTCAAAAATCATTTGACGATCTTCCCGATTGAATTTTTAGCTGAATTTTTGTGTGGATAAACTAGACTTGATGAAGAACAATCCATAAAAATTTCATAAAAAAATTTCAAAGGGAAGGTCCCCAAATTCCACATTCTGGACGGCGGTTCTGATAAGGAATTCCTGACTGGAAGAGTACTCATGTCAGGCCAGCCTGACTGGGTAGCCGTCCGGTCTAGCCCGTTTGAGGGCCTTCCCGGTGGAAGTTTTCCATGAAATGTTCTTAGAATCTTTTCATCAAGTCAAATTTACCCATCCCAAATTTGAGCTAAAAGTTCAATCAGAAAAGCAATCAAATAATTTTTTGAACAATACTGCGTTGTGTATATATATTAACTGCGCAGTGTTCTTAGATAATTTATTTGACTGTCTTTCCTATTGATTTTTTAGCTGAAATTTGATATGAGTAAACTAGACTTGATGAAGAACATGGTAAAAAACGTTCATCAAAAAATTCCAACAGGAAGGCTCTCAAAAGGGCTCGGCCGGACGGCGTGTCCTGTCAGGCCGACCTTCATAGGATCAGCGAGTTATATTGCTTTTTTGAGGGTGATTGACTTTAATTCTTGTTCGAGGGCTGACGATTGCATGTGATTCTTTTGTCATTTTACTCTCTATCTGAATATTGTGATATGAATTTAAGCCTCCTTCTTCCAAAAAAATACGGAGTATGAAGATGCCATATTATTCGCCATTTATTGAATGGGAAAGAAAATAAAATGGAGTACTCCATAATGGAAAGTGTATTTAAATAAGTTCTATTATGGTCCATTTCCAATGCGACCAAATAAGGAAAAACATAATTATGGCATTATGCATTCCCACTTACGATTTTCCACCCCACATCCCATTTGAATTTCCCATTTGAATTTCCCATTATTCTCACCTACCAGTTGTTGCCTCAAAGAAGGGGCAGGCAAAAGAACACATGTTTTATTCCACTGTTTTTCAACTTCCTTCTCGAAAGTGGGCGGCCACTATAATTATGGCATTATGCCTAGGCTTTTTAGGACTCGCTCATTATATACTGATCCATATTCCCCACCAATTCAGTTTCGCTATATTCCGTCGTCGGAAGCCGGTCAAACCACCAGATCATGAGTCAAACCGCCGCACTGATTCAGGGCTCTGCTCCCACCCTCTTCTCCCCTTACCAGATGGGGAGGTTCAATCTTGCCCACAGGTTAGTCGTCAGTATATATGGCTATTTCATTTCTCTTTTCACACTTGGATGGAACTTTTCATTTAGTGCTTCCTGAGTCGATTTCTTGTTTTCATTTGCTGTAGTTTTCATCAGTGATATGGTATCCCCTGTTTCAATGAAATTTACAAATTTACATGTAAAGTTATGGTTCGTGGACATTTTGCGTTATTGCGTACATTGTCTTGATAAATAATTTTATAATAGGGATAATTAAATCACGGAAATTGTAAGAATAGGGAAAAATGTCATATTGTAAAATTGAATCCAAGTGTCATGTTTGTGAGAGGTGTCATATTTTTTAGATGAGCGTTTGAAGAGAGAGTGCACAAAGAAATATGATTATCACTCTAGTGTTTTCAATGACTTATCGGGTGTTTGAGCACAAATAAAATCAAAATCACTTTTTCAACATTTAGTATCTCTCGACTTGTTTCTATGAGTAATTTGGAGCACTTAGAAATACTTCTGCACTTTTATTCAAACAATCTAATACCATGTTTATGTTTTTTATCCTTCAACGAGCAGAAACAGTTTTGAAAAGCAGATTCAAAATAGTGATGTGTTTTGGTGTCAGATATATTGAAATTAGTAGCTTAATTCATGTTGTAACTTTGTAGGGTGGTGTTTGCACCATGCACCAGATGCAGAGCTTTGAACAACATACCACAACACGCACACGTCGTGTATTATTCGCAGAGGGCAACCCATGGTGGATTGCTTATTACGGAGGGAACTATGATTGACCCTACATCGGCTGGGTATGTACTCGTGATTTTTTCCTAATCTCGGATTTCATTCATCAAGTTATGACGGAGTAACACTTTTGAATTCTAATTTTGAGTTCCAATAAAACTTTTAGGACACATTTACTTCACGGGTTACTAAACGGTGTTTATTAAGATTCGCGTTAATAAGCGACGCATAAAAATAAGCAGTGTTGTAAGCTCATGTTTACTTCAAATGATTTAAAACACCGTTTAACATTAAAATGTCCAAAATAACTCTATAGATATATAAACACACAAACATTCATGAACACAAGTATATAATACAATATGTGGGTCGGCCGGGGTCACCTCGTACACTTAGTCGCTTACCCACACCCCTAACCCCTACCCCGCCCTGTACTCACCCCTCACCCTAACCTCAATTCCACACCCTTGACCCCCACCCCTTTCCTACGCCTACCCTTACCACGACTTTACCCTCCACCCCTACTCCCACTCATACCAACCTCCCACCCATATGAGGTAAAGGGGTAGGGGTAAGGTAGGGGTGGAGTATGGTCACGTCAAGGGTGGGGGTGGGGTCGGGAGGTCGGGGTCAGTGGTGGGATCGATGTAGGGGTAGGTGGTAGGGTCGAGGTAAGGGGTACAAGTGGGGGTAGGGGGTAGGGGTCGGGGGCAGGTGGGGGTGGGGTCGGGGTAGGGAAGGCGGCGGGCTGGGGTGGGTGGGTCGAGGTAGGGGCAGGGGTAGGGTAGGGGTGGGTTCGGGGGTCGGATCAAGGTAGGGGAAGGTGGTAGGGGGTAAAGGGGTAGGGGGTGAAGGTGGGGGTGGGGTAGGGGCTGGGGTGGTAGGGTATGGGCATATGGTGAGGATGGGGGTGGGTCAAGGTAGGGGTAAGGTCGGGGTAGGGAAGCGGGGGTACAGGGTGGGGTCGGGGTTGGGTAAAGGTAGGGGTAAGGTCGGGGTAGGGAAGTGGGGGTACAGGGTGGGGTCGAGGTTGGGTAAAAGTAGGGGAAGGTGGTAGGGGTAAAGGGTTAGGGTAAGGGGTGGGGGTGGGGTGGGGTGGGGTGGGGCAGGTGGTGGAGGGTAGGGTCGGGGTATGGGTAAGGTGGGGGTGGGGTATGGTCGGGTCAAGGGTGGGATGGGGTCGGGGGGTCGGGGTAAGGTGAGGTAGGGCGGGGTAGTGGGGGTAGCAATAGGGTAATGGCAAGAGGTAAAGGTAAGGGTAAATTCGGAAACTAAAAAATCTTAAAGTGTCGCTTAATTAATACATGGGGATGATATGCTTAGTAAGCGGCACTTTAAGCGCCTCTTTCGGTTAATATGCAATGTTTTAAGCAACTTGTGTGTTTACTTCAGATGTCTTACTAACCTAACTATGACTTTAGCAGTGGATTAAACGTCTCTTTAGTGTGTTTTCTAAATTGTAACTAATGGTGCTTTCAGAAGCATATACTACGCTGAGCCGGTACAAAGAATTATACGAATAAGTAAAATTTTTATTACTACCTTCGCCCCTTAAAACTTTGCCAAAGTTGATCGGTACGGAGAATAATAAAGTAAAAACTGTGTGGTTGAGGTTTGTGCAGAGGAGAGAGAAATAACAGAAACTACAACATAATTGATTAAAGGGAAAAATAAATAAAATACCCCAAACTTTGAAGGGTGTGAGATGAACACCCCAAACTTGCGTACATAATTTAAATACCCCAAACTTTATATAAAAAATTATTTTAGCACCATAGTCAAGTATTATTTCTTTTTAAAATGTAAGTTTATGGTGTTAATTACATAATTTAATATATTTAAGAATTCATGAAGACACAATTAACATTCTAAATTTATTGCGAAATAAATAATGTGATCCCAAATCTATATAATTGCAACACTTTTAATTTGTTATTCTAAATTGGACTATGGTGACATTTTAAAGGTGCAATTAACTCAAAACATTTACATTTTTGAAAGAAATAATACATGATCATGGTGCAAAAATAACTTTTTAAATAAAGTTTGGGGTATTTAAATTACATATACAAGTTTGGAGTATTTATCTCACATCCCTTCAAAGTTTGGGGTATTTTTATTATTTTTGGGGATGTCCCAATTCAAAAAGGAAAGATGACAAAGTTTTAAGGGATGGAGGGAGTATGTTTGACTGAAATGAGAAATAAAAAATAAAAACTATGGGAAGGGACAACGTTTTTAGGATAAGTAAAAGCTAAAAATGACAAGGGACATTTAATTTCACGTTTTGGTTATTTGTAGATTTCCAAATGTGCCAGGGATTTTTACCCCAGAGCAAGTGGGTGGATGGAAAAATGTAGTTAATGCCGTCCATGCTAAGGGTGCTGTTATATTTTGCCAGCTTTGGCACGTTGGTCGTGCATCTCATTATGGTAATGTGGTTCATTTTTACCCTTTTGGTATAAATCATCCATCTTGCTTAAAAGAAATTGGTTATAATTCAATGGCGTGTTTAAAATTAATTGGAATGTAGATGTGTTATGATGTTTTTAATTGGACTGTAATTTGCTGGTCTGGTCTGGTCTGGTCTGTTTAAGTCTGGTCTAAACTGGTCTGGTCCGGTAATGGTCTGGTCTCTGTGTATTTTATAACTACGAAAGTCAAGTCTGGCCTGGTCTGTTTAAGTCTAAGTCTTGTCTGGTCTCGTCAGAGATTGAAATCAGTCCAAGTAAAAACATCCTTATAACAAATATTTCGAGAAAATCTTAAGCTTCATTGTGGAACGTACTATATCAATTTCGGAGTACGGAGTATTATTTATTTTATAATGTTTTAAATGGTGTTCCTAGTCTCATTATGTTTTACTCCAAATGTGTTACATGCTCAGTAATATCAAATCCAATGTAAAAAATTGCACTCCGCCCCTTTCGCTCGTCCCGTACATACAAATGACAAATCCAATAGTTGTTCGGAGTAGTTATTAACACACATTTTGGAACAATCCAAATAATAGATGTAGCTTGTGGGCTTGTGGCTTGTGGAGTCTATATAACAATATGCAATAATCTTATTGATACCATTTTATCAACCTGCATTGTGGTTACAGTATATCAACCCCTGGGAGGTGCACCAGTTTCTTCCACAGAACAACAGATTACCGAAAAATGGTCTTTACTCATGCCAGACAGTTCTTATGACCATTTCTCGAAACCCCGTGCTTTATCCATCGATGAAATCGCAAAATATGTTGATCTGTATCGGGTTGCAGCACTCAATGCTATGGAAGCAGGTTCCTTGTCATCCTTCATTGTGATTGTCATCATTTTGGTGTCTTTTTATGAAGAGATGCGATGACTCTTGAACAATTCATATTAACATATATTTTGAATTAATTGGTGTATAAAATGTGCAGGTTTTGATGGAGTTGAAATTCATTCGGCACACGGGTATTTGATTGATCAGTTCTTGAAAGATGGGATAAACGACCGCACAGATAAGTATGGTGGATCTGTTCAAAACCGTTGCAACTTTTTGCTGGAAATTGTTGAAGCAGTTGCCAATGCCATTGGAGCTGACAGACTAGCCGTTAGGATATCCCCTGCCATTGACCATAATGATGCCACAGACACTGACCCCCATGGCCTAGGCCATACAGTGGTTGAGAGGCTCAACCGCTTCGAAGCCGAGTTCGGGTCGAAATTGGCCTATCTCCACGTCACCCACCCGCGGTTTGTGTCTCGAGGAGAAAGGCCGGATTTGGACAAGTTTGGTGGTGTCGAAAAAGAAGCCTTGCTGATGAGCTCCCTTAGGAAGGCTTACAAGGGAACTTTTATGGCTAGTGGTGGTTATACAAAGCAACTTGCGAAAGATGATATTGAGCATGATAAGGCTGATCTGGTGTCATTTGGGAGGCTTTTTATAGCGAATCCAGATTTGGTGTTGCGTTTCAAGCTCGACGCGCCACTCAATAAGCACGATAGGTCTACGTTTTATACTTCTGATCCTGTTGTTGGATATACAGACTATCCTTTCCTTGATCATGGTTGTGAAACCTCTCTATCTGTGCATGCTTGATTATGTACTGTTTGTATTAGAAATGTTTTAAATGATCATTGTGATGTGATTTTCCCCAATTCGACATTTAACATTAAGCTTTTCAATTTATCATTACAATGAGTGCTCGTATTCAATTTATAAAATATATAAGGATACACTGTTACTAATACTAGTATGTAACCCGTGCGATGCACGGGAACAAATACTGTTTTTAGGTAAAAAATGTTTGAAATAAATTGAAATTAGGGAGTAGCTGTATTAAATAAAAATGTAATACATGTATAACTTAGCACAAAACGACATTTATATTTGGTATAACGAATACAAATGCAATACGAAAATGATTATATTACAAAAGGTAGAATTACACATTTTGAAAAACCTCGAGATACATCACGTTTATTGTGGAACTAGTTTGGATGTCTTCGTCGTTGCATATCAATATTTTCAATTCTTGGCGTGTGGTGCCTCGTGACACAACAACATAGATTTGATAATGACAAAAAACAGGGGTCCTTAAAAACAACCCTACGTGAGAAAGCCATTGACCCTGACTTTTAAAGAACTAAAAGTTACTCCCTCTGTTCCTATATTGTCTCCTCCTTTAATCCGACACGGGGATTAAGATAGTGAGTTTTGTGTGGTGGAGAATTGTGCAGAGGAGAGAAAATTGTGTAAGAATTGTTGTGAACCACAATTTTTTACCAAAAAAAGAAAGAGAAGATAATTTTGGAACAGATGAAAAAAGGAAAATTTGAAAATAAATAGAGACGGAGGGAGTATTAAAAGTTACATATTCAAAACTAATATTAGTGTTTTTTTAAACAATGGATTTTTTCTTGAAAATATACAAAATTGAAATTCTTCTCATTTAAACCATTAAAACTTATTGGATAGATATTTCATGCGGCCCATCTGGAACTCACTTGTCTGGAACCCTCTATCTAAGCCTAGGAATCTATGATTCTATCCATCACATTTCCTTCCAGCTCTTATCCCTTGCTCTCATCACCCCTTATCCCTTGCTCTCATCGGCAAGATGTTCACTTTGAAATCGTTCCTCCGTGTGTCAGCTACTATATATTGCATATGTTCATTGCTGATTCTCCTGACTCTAACTGACCTCTTCGCCGTGATCTCTAAAGACCTAATTTTTCTCCATTTAAGAGTTATAGCAGGTAGCTTTGCCGTTCCAGCTCCAGGACCGTGTGGAGGAAATCCATTTAAGGTCATAGCCCATAACAGTTCGGCCTTCCCAGCTCCGGCGGAATACTCAGTGAGCTCAGAAATATACTATATTTTAAAAATTATTTTAAGGGATTATATAATTTGTTTTGCTCTTCACTTTAGTTGTAACTTCATCTCCCGCTTGATGTATTATGAGATTTAATGTAAGAATCGTATGTCTTTTCTTTGATTTAAAGCTAAACCTAAACCAAGACTATTGAGTAATCAATAATAAAGTAATAAAAGAGATAAAATAATTGATACGAAAATATAAAATGAGCTCAAACAGAACAATAATGTGCAAATGATGTACTGTATTTTTGATTCTAAAATAGACAACTTTTCTCTCTATGTTACATACTATCTGCCTATCCTATCCTTCCCAGCTTACTGAGTGTATTAAAGGTGTATATATGTGTGTGTGTGTGTATGCATTGTATTTTTCTCTTTTTTTCAAAGTATGACTTAATACTGGAGGCTTAATACTGGAGAATTATTTTGAGATTGTTGGTATTATATTTGAATAATCATTATTGTTTTTTATGCACATCACTACAGAGCATTTAGGTGTGATGTTGGTGTAATTTGAAATGTTTGTGCTGATTTCAGTCAAAATGGAGGATGCTAGAGACTTGATACTCAAGCAGGAAGCACACCAAGGCATTATACAAAAGATAAGAATATATTCACTTATATGATGAAATAATTGTAGTGTATGTCTATCTTTTGATCATTTGCACTAAAATGAAGCATTCATAATGTGTTATTATATGTTTATTGCAGATTAATGAAACTGGATGTGATTGGTTGTTCATTTTCAAGTACTTTATCCATCACAATTGTTTTTTTGAGCAATAGTTAAAGAAAAGCATCATGAAAAAGTGCAAGCTTTTCAACATAAAGGTGCAAAATTCTAGTTTCTGAGTCTTTTGTTTGCTATCTATTATAAACTCATTTGTCTGATCTATGGCCTTCTGCTTTCTGCCATGCTTATTTTTGGAAATAATTTGGGGTTGTATAGTGAAGGATACGTAAGCAAACATAATCTTGAGGCATGGAAGCAGCAAAGATTATGTAATGAATTTCTAAGTTGAATCCATTTTTCAGAATACTAATGGGGTCAAAGCACCTAAAATAATGTGGTCAAAGTATACAATAAGTGTATGTGGCTATATGTGTGTGTATTTGTTTTTAAATCTCTTTGTAAGCTATATACGCATCTTAAGTACAAATACACACAAATGCATCCTTAATTTGGATTTTTAACTAAAAGTCATGTCAATTTGTTTCTGAGTTGGAGCTATTTCACTTCACAAACCTGATTCAATACGGACATATATACGACAAACTCATGTTTTCTACCTGATTAAAGGTTCATCACATCTATGGCATGATTTTAACGTAAATCTATCTTCAAGCTTTTAAAAAATTCTGTAACTATCTACCTCTAATAACCTCAGAAACATAAAATAACTAAATATATCAGGAACATTGTCCTCCTTTTATCTTACACTTATTAAAATACCTGGACTGTTATTCTCATTCTGCCTCTTCATAGTATGGCCGCCAGTTAGCTTTCTCATTGGATCTGTTCAGTTGTCTAATTTCAGAACCTGGGTAGCCGGTGCTTGAAGGGGGAATACTCAATTTTTGTGTGTTGTATACTCAGAATTATGTTGTAGTATTTTTATGTGAATTCACCTAATGTAATCGTGCTTGCACTCTGTTGTAACCCCCACTCCTCCAAACAGGCGTGGAACTTCCTTGAAGAACTTTAATACGGAGTATGTATTAAAAATTAATATTATTAATACGGAGTATTATTTAAGCGTGTGGAAATATACTGATATTCGTGCTCCTGAGTTTTGATGGCTAAAGTTCTTAATCTCGCCGCATATAAATATTGAGTTTAGTGGGTTAAAACCGCTGATAAACTGCCATTTTGTGTTCGTGCAGGTTGACATGCAACTGGCCCATTATGCACTTCGCATGCCCTATAGTATTGCCACGTGGTGGCTACAGAGAATAGACAGGATTTTAATGATCGTGCAATAGTAGAATTTGTATTTAACGATCAATTGACACGTGTAATCTTTAATGGTCAGATCTGTCCATTTGGTTGTCACGATGGAATCAGGCGGGAACAGGTTATCCCAGTCGATTCCATTGTTAAATATATACATATTTTATAATATGACCAGTCTTATACGAAAATGCATTAGCTGGATTCCCATATTTTATAATTATTTATGTGTAGAACCTCTTCTTTGAAAAAAAATTAATTGTCAAATAAAAGAAAAATGATTGACATTATTATATAATTTAAAGATTTTAACAAATTTACTGTAAAAAGGATTCCACGTTTGAATAATTACTCCCTCCGTCCCATAAAATTCTTCCACTTTCTTTTTTGGGCCGTCCCAAAAAATTCTTCCCATTTACCATTTTTGGACAATTTGCGTGATTCATATCAGGGTCGGCCAAAGGGGGAGTTACCCTAGACAAGTGTCTAGGGCCTCCAAATTTTAGGGGCCTCTAATTTATAAAATAAGCTTATTAATATTATTTAGGAGACTTTGTCCGGCCGTCAATATTTGGGATAGTTTCCTTTGTAATTTTTTGATGATTTGTTTTTAGAATCTTATTCATTATGTCTAGTTTACTCATACCAAATTTCACCTAAAAATTCAATCGCGAAGACATTCAAATGAATTCTTGAAGATAACTGCGCAGTTAAAAGTGCAGTTATCTTCAAGAATTTATTTGAATGTCTTCCATGTTGAATTGTTATCTGAAATTTGGTATAAGTAAACAACACTTAATGAATAAGATTCTCAAAAAATTTCATCAAAAAATTCCACTGGGAACTGCCCCAAATGGCGACGGCGGGACAAAGTCTCTTCTACAAGGCTTATTTGACCTTTTTGGTTAGTACGTGGGCTTATTTGCTCCTTTTTCCTTTTTTTTCTTTGTTGGCTAGGGCATTAGGGCTAGAGATTTAGGATAATGAGTATTCTAAATATATTTGAATGCTTATTGAATAATTGAAATTGTAATTTGTTATTTTAATTCATCGAAATATTGAACATACTTATAATTTTTTATATTTGATTAAATTTAGTGAATTAAATTTATATCTATGAACCATTAACTTATATTTAGTGATAGTATTATTTTGAATGAAATTTTATGTTTTGTGATGATTGGAAAACAAAATATGAATCAAGATGTACAAAGACAAAGAAAAAAATCAAGAAATGATTTGGTCATGAAATCACTTTCCGGCTCTATCGATCGGTATGTTGTATGTAAGCACAAAACCTTCTCCCTCTAGGGCTCTTTGTATTTTTTCATCAACTTTGATCTTCTGATTTCGAAGAATATTCTCACTGTGTTAATAGTATATGATGTATTTTATATGTAATTTACTTATATTTAATTACTATTTTTTATATCATTGGGTTAAATAAAACATATTTAAAACAAAATTTCTACATGACCGTCTAGGGCCTCATAATTGCTCTAGCCGGCCCTGATTCATATTCATTTCACCTTTTTCTTACACAACTACAACCATACATTTCCACTTTATTCCACTTTCTTAATCTCTGTGCCAAATCAAAGTGGGAAGAATTTTATGGGACGGAGGTAGTATAACCAGGGCCGGCTAGAGCAATTATGAGGCCCTAGACGGTCATGTAGAAATTTTGTTTTAAATATGTTTTATTTAACCCAATGATATAAATAATAGCAATTAAATATAAGTAAATTACATATAAAATACATCATATACTATTAACACAGTGAGAATATTCTTCGAAATCAGAAGATCAAAGTTGATGAAAAAATACAAAGAGCCCTAAAGGGAGAAGGTTTTGTGCTTACGTACAACATACCGATCGATAGAGCCGGAAAGTGATTTCATGACCAAATCATT